TGTTAAGAGATTTGTGTTCACCAAAGCCCTACAGAGTGGTAGGGTAGGCAAGTGATAAAACTTCGAGGTTTGACTGGCAAGTTTTATTTGCATTAGCTAAATCCAGTCAGTGCATTAATCCACGTTCAAGTCCAGTCCATCGAACAATGCTATAGCTTGGCAAAATCACTTGTAAAGCATTACCTTGCAATTCTCATGAGGCTCAAGCAGGTCTCTGTATTTATTTTTTGGGTTGATTCTTGAGACTTAATTTTATCTTCCTGTGTGGAGAAATTGTATGTAAAACATATTTAAAGCCATGCATTTATATAAATAATATAGATGTTGAAGTCATTTCCAGTGTAATTAAAAGAATTCAAGCTGTCCAGGCTTAAAAACATACCATAGGAAGTGTTAATCTTTCAGGCATTTTTCTGTGTCTGTGGATAAATACAGTCCATTTCTCAATATACAGTCAACTTCTAGTTCATGTTTCATTTCTCATCTTAGAAACTGGTAACTGTCTGTCAAAATTAGGTTCCCCAGTTTAGTGGAAAAATAACATTGTTGCTTTTTAAAATCTGATGTTGTTGCTGTAGACTTTCCAGCCATCTGAGCTAAAGCTTGTAATGCAAATTTGGAGAAACCTGACTCTTTCTACATTCATATGTTTTTATTACCATACTGTGCTACGGTTTCCCTGTTAGAATATTTCTTCATCATCAATCTTTCAAGTCCTTTTACCTAGAAAAAAAAATCTTGTTGTTGTTGCGTTCCCCGCCCGACAGTGTTTCAGTGGAAGAGGACCACTGTTTCATGGCCAGGAGACTGCTGTGATATAACTGGAGTATGATGGGTTTCTTGCAGCTCTTTCTTTTGTGAGGCTGTGGGAATGCCGTTAAAACTCTGATTCCATTTAGGCGTAGTTGGAAACGCTCTGTTAGGGTTTTCCCTCTCTAGTATTAATTGCTCTTGGCACTGCCATATCGAAAATACATTGCAGAGTAATGATTATATTTATCCGTGGAGCATAATTGTTTTTTGAGCAGAGTGATTATGCCATAAAAAAAATTATACAAGCCAGGTATTGACGGCATACATAAGAATCCTCCTTCCCTTCTCTTCCAAGCGTTTTCTAGTAGTCATCTTCAGTATTCCATAGAAACGACGGTGGAGGAGGGAAGCACATCCTTGCTGACAAGGGGATGTGCAGTGGCTCTTGACCAGCGTGTTCAGGAGGGAACCTGTTCTCTTAAGTCTGTGCAGCCCACCTGTGCTGTGACTTGGGATAAAAGTGCCAAGGCTGCCGGTTTTTTTTTTTTTCCTGTCTCTTAGCTTCACGGTTCTCAAAACTGAGATGCCAGGAGGTCTGACTTCACATGAAATAGCGTAGTCATCAGAAATTGGCAATCACATTTTTTAAAAGGGTTTTCAAACTGGGCACCTGGATACATTGGCCTTGAAAATCTTGGGATTTTTATCTTTGTCTCAGATGTCCTAGTTGTGCCTCCTAGTCAAAGGTGTAAAATATTTGCGGTAGTTGATCATTTATGCTGTTTAATGCAAATAATCGATTAATCAGTAGACCAATTTTGTTAGATGTCATGAGCCCCTTGTTGAGAATGCTGTCAAAGCAGCTTTGAAGTAAGCTAAATTAGCAAACCTTACGTATAAGGAGGCCTGCTGGGTCATTTAGTCCCTCACTCCATCTGCCAGTTCAGCATGTTCCTGAGCTCTGTCCAACCTCAGAAACAGTATGCTTAAAGATAAATGTCAAATGGATTGGCTTTTGGTATGTGGTTATAAAAGAGTGTAATAGATGTAGACAGACACACAGTCACATTAGTTTTAATACGGGCAAGCCTTATGATGACCTGAATAAATAGATATTTTACTAAGAATTGGCAATGTATTTCATTAGAGCAGTGGAGGCAAGGTCCATTGGGATATCTCATGCTTCACTGGGGATAACATCATGCTAATCAGTGTTTAAATAGTATTCAAAAAAGGATACCGGGGAAGCAGAGGGAAGAGTACGAGCATACCTAATACCACATGCCTCAGGAAAGCCATAGAAAACGTGGTTATTGTAGCCAAGTCAACCTTGCGTAAGTCTCGACTCCAGCAGAGCTGATGGTCAGCAAGCCTGATGAGCACAGTGGTTCTGTTTGGGAATGAGAGGTCAGGGTGCCTCCTCCGCAGAGAAGTTCTGCAGTTCCCCTATTCTGCCTGCAGTGATGCAGGCAGTTTGCACCATTGAGCTAGGCAGAAGTAGAATTTGACTCTGTAATGATGGCTTCATTAGCTAGCGTGGAAAAATTTAAAAAGAATCTAGCGAACTGGTGGGTAATGAAATTCAAATCGTATAGTGTATCTGAACTACTTTGAGGATTAAAAATACTTTTCCATTATATATCAGGAGAAATAATGGTTATAGTTGAAGTTGCTAAACATTTTATTAATGGAAATGTCAATAGATTGCAAATAAGTTTATTTTATATGTTGGAATATCATGGTATACAAAACACTGTATATCTGGAACTTTCTCAGTAAAGAAAATACACCAAAAAAAAAAAATCTGTGTTCTGGCACAGAATAATTAATATGATGCAGACATTTGATTGTCCATCCTTAGGCCTGCTTTTGGTCAATGGTCTGGGGTTTTAGGTTTTTTGCCAAGAAAAAATTCTTTTCTTCTCTAATGGAATTCAATAATTTTGACCTTTGCGTTCTCTTGGGAACAGCTGTGGTGAACATCTGTCTCTTCTAAAGTAAAACGATAGTCCAGTAAAGTTGTCTTCCCCCCCTCCCCCCCACCCCCAACAAAGGGGATACCGTATATGCCATTGTAAAAAGGAATAGTTTAGAGCTAAAAATATTTTGTGTGTGTGTAATCATATTACATTACTCCACAGGCCAAAAGTTCAAAAGTATTTAAAATCAACCTCAATGTAGACAGATGATTAGCTTCTTCCAGAAGTGTTTGTGTTTCTTTTGACTTCAGATACTTTTGCTTTGAGCTATAGGAATTTAGGTCCCAATCTTAATTGTGAGAGCCTGAAAACTTTTGGCATGAAGTACATGATTAAAATCCAAGTCAGGAAATGAGGAAAGCTGTATTTCTAGTGATACTAATTCAGTCATTCTGCATATTTTTGTATGTTTTTGGCATATAGTTTAAAATAGGTCGTGATGCTACGCTGTTCAGTTATCGGGAGAATGGGAACGGACTCTGTGACATATGCAGCGGCTGAAGGACTTGGCATTAAATAAGGAACCTGAAGCCAAATGCTTTGCTTCTGTATGTACATAGATTTGACTTCAGAGAAGTAGAGACTTCTTACCCTGCCTATGAACTTGGCCTATTATCTTTTGTTTTTCTTGATTTTGATTTTAATTGTACAAATAACAAAGGGAGTTTCAGGCATGAGAATCATGTATGTAATGTGCTTTCACTTATTATTGGTGGTGGGGGGAGGAAGTGAAGAAAGATAGCTGTCTGCGGCTTTTCAGAGGAAAAGTGCAGCCCCGTCTTTTGCTTGCACTCTGATATCTGCACTGTGTTATCAGCATCAACTTTTAAATCTCCATGAATCTGTCCTTGGTGAGCCCCAGCCTTGCTTAATAAACTTGATCCTTACACTTTTGGTAAACAAGATAACGTTCAGTGAAAGGGAATATTTATCCCACGTACAGTGTCAGGGCTGTGCTCTCTAATAAGCCTAATTTCCTGCCGCTTCGTTCTCCTCACGGTAGACCATTTAAAGTTGATTTTGGTGTGTCATGCTAGATGTCAGGGAGGGTGAAAGTGTTTTCAATTACATGCCCTTAAATCTGAGGGTTTGCTCCTTGGCAGCATTCAGACTACATCATCAGGCTATGCGAATGAGCAGCTTGGAAGAGCTGTGTTACTGCCTGCTGTTTGAAACCTAGTGCATAGAAAGCTATTTTAGCATTTTGAACCCAGTGATCAAAAAACATGGCTTAGGATCTCCAAGAAACTGGTAAAAGGCCTTTGAAAAGAAGTCTTTTAAAAAACTGTTCAGTTGGGCCTCTTTTTATGTTGGCTTATGTTTGTCTCTGTTGCTGTGACAGATAGAAACTTGCTTTTTCATATTTATTTAAATGACAGGTAAGTCTGGTATCATTCAGTCCAGGATTTGGGGCTTTAAAGAGAATAATAGTTCTTAATACTGTGAAAGTTGACAGTACTGAGTGGCTGTCTCCTCAGTGTTACATTTGGGCATTCTTTTTGAAAACAGGATGAAATGTTTGAAATGTTCCTAGTTTCATAGGGATTTGGCTTCTTGATGTACACTTTAAAGTATTTGACTTTGAAAAATCTTAATCTTTACATTTTTCTGCTTGGAAAATCTGTTGTCAGGTGTATTCAGTGTTTTTTCACGTAATGCCTTCTTTAAAGCTGCAGTTGTAAGAAGGTGGCTACCCCTGATGTTGATGTAGCTGGCAGAAGCTATTATGAATCGTGTCAATACTTTACATCCGAATTCTCTAGAGCACCGTTTTGGTGTTGAGATGCACCAGCACTCCAGAGGACCTTTAAAATATGCTCGAACCTACAGACTTTGATTTTGACAGAACGAGTTAGACAGAGGAATACATGGTGATTTAGACGGTATAAATAATATGCCTTAAATTAAGACGGCCCACTCTTTTTTTTTTTTCCCCTTTCACCATGGGATGAACAGGGTCACTATGCCTGGAATGGAAATGTCCACGAGCATCTGTGGGACAAATGTGACTACCACTGAAACAATCCCACATTGAATGGGATGCCAACAGCTTGTTGTTTTTCCCTAGTTTATTTTTCTAAGCAAGTATTTTGACATGCTACGTGTTCTTTGATACCTGAAATTCCACTGCAAGGACTTCTTCAGATTTTCTAATAAATAAAAGTAAAAAAAAGAAAAGTGAAGGGTCCTTTTGTTGTTGTAACCTCCAAGCAGCTTATGTCAAGAAATAATTCTGTCTAATAGTAACGTTCCATTTTATTCTTCTAGGGGCAGTAAGCCAGAGATGACCGACAAGATGTCGAGCTTCCTTCATATTGGAGATATTTGTTCTCTCTATGCAGAGGGCTCAACAAATGGATTTATTAGCACTTTGGGGTAAGAACAGCTGTTCTCTTGTACTAAAAACATCCATATGAAGGACTGACAGAGGTCAACTAGCTGTCCTGAGCCTGACTCTCAGGAAACACTGGGTAAAGCAAGGTAGCTTTCTGTACAGATTTGGCCCTAAATTTAAAAATGACATGAAGTTAATACAGCAGATGGAAAGTTAAATGTTGGGAGGCTGGAGAGGATACTAATGGCTATGGTACAGTTTTATTTTGTTCGGTGGGGAGGAAGAAGCTTGCCAAGTTTAAGCAGTGGGTAGAGGGGATGAATACAAGAAAATGATTTTCATGTTGTCTGTCCCATGTCCATCCGTGTGTCCCGTCCTGTCCCTCCCCGTCCCCTTTTCCTCTCTCCCCAGTCAGGAATGAATAGGCCGCACAGTGCAATCTGTTGATTGGAAAAAAAGAATGTAGCATAGGTGATGTAAGTAGTTTTCAAAAAAAAAAACCAAAAAAAAGACAAAGGTGGGGGGAGTGTAAATAAAAAAAGCCCTGAGTCACTTTATACACCACTGACTTACCACTGTGATTGGTTTTGTCTTTTCTTATAGTATTTGAGGTTTCTCATACAAACAAAATTGTACTTCTCCAGCCAAAGGAGAACGTGTTTTGAGTCTTTGGCTTTGCCAATGGCCAGCATCCCCCAGAACTGCAATGGGAGCCGCGCCTTGCCTGTTCCTGTCACCTGTTGTGCTGCTTCCTCATAGACCTCCTTTGCACTTTCTCCTGTGAACCCATAGGTACTCTATTGGAGAGTACCTCTTCACCAGTAGGGAGTGTATGCCACTTCGTTAAACATAAAAGTAGCCATTTACATAGGGCAAAGGAAGATTTTGCAGAGAAAAGCTGTGCCATTGACATACCACAGAACTGAAGCTTCGATGAGTGACAGACTGTGTTTTATTTTGCTCAACTGCTGTTTAGGAGAAATCTTGCAGGCTTCAGAAGCTGGCAGTGGAGCTGTGTACTGCTTTGGCAGACCTTACCGGGAGGCCGGATGAGAGGCTGAAAGAGCACATCTGCCACCACCTTTCAAAGCGATGAGAAATTAGAGGGAGGGAATCAGTTAGTATGCCACATTGCTGTGGTACTTCAGTACTGAATGAATAGTAAAGAAGCAACCAGGAAGCTTGACGGTATTGTGAGTGGGCACGCACAACATGCTCTTTCTCATTTCCAGTAGCCGTAAGGGCCTCAGGGTGGGTACAGTGACAGCAAATTTTTTTGATGCCTACTGTCAAGATGCATCTGATAAATGGAGCTCCCAAGCAGGGTACCGGGACAGCATCCTGGTAAGTCTCTCGGCAGGAAACACTGGGCTGGAATTTAATCTGAGTGACTCCAAACTAACTTGTAGGTTTAGTCCTTTAGCTATTAGGATTCTGGAAAATAAGGGGGCAGAGAAGGAAGCAGACACTGAAGATGCACCATGATCTATTATAGGAAAGAGAAGAAAATATGGGATGCTGCCAGAAGGGAAAGAAGGTATGATAAAAGCAAGGGATGTAGTAAGTAGGGTTGGTTGAATAGTATTTGGCGAATGTATTTGACAGATTTCCCAGGTACCCGTCAAATATGACACGTATGCTCTGCAGTATTCGATCAGCTGTGTAACTGGCCAAATACTATCTGCTGAAAACTGGCAAAACGAATTGAACAACATACATTTGGCTATTTTTTTTTCCTTCCTAGTATTGAAGCAAGTTTGGCAGTAAATTATTCCAGAATAAGTAGAAAGTTGTTATGTTGTGTTTTATCCCATACAGTGCATGATGAACAGTATGCAGTGGCTGTGGCTTTTGATGGCATTGCTAAGCAGATATTTTTCACCATGGGTAGTCCTTTTAGACATTGTAGGCCTTAAGTAGCTTGCATTTTTTTTTTTTAGACTTGATCAGATGTTCTGATGGCAGGTCTAAATATCCCTCAGTGTTATAAGTATTCTCTTTGATTTGGTTAGTACTGTTTTAAGGTAACTGTGTTATATAATGGCTGCATATCTTTTCAGCCTAATTTAAGCCAGAAATCCCAATTGCTATGTGAAACATGAAATGCATTATCATCTTAATAAGCCTTCATAATCAAATTAGTTTTGTCCCATATTTAATTTAGTTTTTGTCCTGGAGAAAATTAAAACAGCAAAGGAAAGATTCACTGTAATTGTACCCAATACCATGTGGAGTTTTGACAGTCTTATGTCGTAACAACGTGTAATGGCTTGTTCATATGGTTAATGAAGGTTGAGAAACAGATACCGCTATACGTTATAACGTAGTTCTAAACAAGTAACTCCATCTTTGAGGGATCTTCCTGTTTAATATTCCTACGACGTGACTCTTGCTTAATCGAGACTTCACTCTTGCTGTTTCCCAAACTCAGTGCTCGGTAATCGTTATGATTACTGATGTATATAATATATCCTCTTGTGTTTCGCACCCCATAAAATTGTTTTCTTAGTAATTTGGGAAGTTCCTCTTTATTTCCACTTTAATCTCAGGATGAGAGGGATATCTTGCACTGAGATTAACTGTCTGGGGGATTATCAGAGTAACCCATTTGACTTTTAATATTTTTTGACCCTTTGTTCACTGGAAGTAGGTGTTTCAGTCAACTTAAAATTTAATATTAACATTCTTATTGGAGCACGTATATATAGTGAATAGGGGGAAAATCCATGGGGAAAAAACAACTTACTCTGAATGTTTGCATATGCAAGTTTTAGAAGCATAGAATTGTTGAGTCCACTTAATCTCTCTGGATCACTTAACTTTTATATGCACTTCATGATTTTCCATAATTGTTGTCTCAAGATGCTCCCTGCATGTAACCAGCCTCTGCAAGGAACAACTCTCATATTCTAGGTCTCAATCTCTTTCTCAAGTTGATTCTGCATGAGAATGGACATCTCAATTCTTTAAAACCTTGGAGATTTACTTTCTACTTCTGGGTAGAAGGCCTCTTTGACAGATTGGTTTAAAGGTGCCAAGTTGAGTAATTTAAGATCAAACGAGGAACTGCCAAATGCTTGGTTACAGCTGCACTTTCATGATTTGGGAAGAGTGTTTGGTGAAAGTGCAATTCTACTTTGAATCAAAGTGTGCTAAGGGCACAGCAGTGGTGACAGGTGCATCTTCACTATTTTCTTTGTTCTGTGGCTTTTTTGCCCATGTGCAGTCACAAGAGAAGCTCTTTCCTGGAAATCCCTATTGAAATATCTTGGCTTCAGCTATATGCAGCTTCACTTCCTTCCTGGTAAAGCTGGAGGAGGTTGGCTTGATCTCTTGACTTCTCTTGTGTTGACGATGGGTAAGCAAGGGAGTGTATTTGTGCCTGCCTTTTTCTTGGGAGTAAACTTCTATTGTGGCAGTTGAGGTTTCTGCCTTTTTTTGATATTTGAGGGGTCACAGCCATAGTGTCCGGTTTGCACAGTTGTCATATTTTCCTGTTTTCTACCCTTTAATATAAACACAATTACAACATTATTCGAATCTGTCCAAGAGGCAATATTTGTTCTAAGGCTGTCTCTCTTGTAACTAGAATATGGGCTGTTCTGTCTGCACCTCAAGGAGGGGACATAAAGACGATGCAGTAAACGGGAGCAATGACTTATTTATTGTCCCACCTATCCAGGAGCATAGCTCTGGGCAACAGTAAAAATTAGCTGCATGCTTCTTAGAAAGGTTTGGCATAAGTTGGCATCTGGGGAATGTCTTCTGCTGAAGTGGCCAATCAGATAAAACATTGCAAATAAACCACTTAATTTTTTGCTAACAAGGGTGTAAGCAATTGCGAAGGAAAAGAACCTCACTTCAATTGCTCGTTTCTTTGCAGCCTTGTGGATGATCGATGTGTTGTACAGCCAGAAGCAGGTGATCTTAACAACCCACCCAAAAAGTTCAGAGGTAAGTTTATTAGGCAGCTTATCACCTTTCTGATTGGAAGAAGCGCTTCATCTTGTGTAGTCACATGCAAGTAGTTTTGCCTTCAGTGCTTTCTATAGAATATCTTAGCGTCATCTTCTTCCACCAAGGGCAACATTTAAACTTAACTGCTGTCTGTAGGTGAGGAAAATAGTATATGTACGTACGTCTGTGTGAACTGAGTTGTGGGACTTAAGTATGCTTTGCAAGGAGGATGGAGGTGGGGTTGCTAACTGAGGCTGGCTTTCAGCTCTGTGCTAACACAATGTCCCTGTAAGGTTCACCCCTTGATTGCCTCTTCTACCCAAAAGGTAGCTCAACCAAGTGTTCTTAAAAGTTGATCTACCTTTTATTGCTCTTCTCATCAGTGTGGCAGCATCTGTTTGTCTCCTCTGTGTTTGCTGGAGAAAACCTGTTTCTTTACTTATGCATTGGCTTTCCTGGAAGCTCAGTTACTATAATTCTATTCAGATTTGATCGGACTTGCAGGTGATTGCCCCTTGAAATTGTATGCCTTCTGTACTGCTGGGGGTCTTTGCTACTTTGTTTTTTGTTTGTTTGTTTGTAGCTGTGCCAGAGGTATCTGACACCGTGAAACTGCCTGCTTAAAATATTGCTGTAATCTGTGAGTTCCTGGGTTTTTTCCCTTTTTTACTGGAGAACTAAATAGGTCATCATTGAAATACTGAAGAGGCAGCTGGGGAAAGTTTTAGTGTTCAATGTTAAGCTCTCCAGAAAAAAATGCTGGTATTACATGATCTAGAACACTGCCTTAACTGTAGAATTAAATGAAGGAATAAAACCGGAGGGGGAGAGAAGAAAATGGCAGTCTTGCTAGCACGGTTTAGGGACTGCAGATAAGGAGAGACATTTGGCTGACATAAAACATTGTGGTTAGATGTTGTAAAAGGTCTCCTGTTACTTATAATTTATATGTGGAGAAAGAATGGTATGAACCTTTTCAACCTTTGTAGTAACTTCACTAAAGTTTATGCATTAAAGTTTAATGGTGAATGGCAGCAAGACTCATAAAATCTTAGCAGGCATTTGTTATTTATTCAAATGTTATTGTAAGTATAATCTAAGATAAAACTGTTTTCCACAATAAATATGTTCAGAAGTAAATATGTTCGGAAGAAGTAATAATCCCAACACAAATGGAAGATGCCTCCTTTTTATTATGAACCGAAGGCACTTAGAGAGCGAGTGTCACAAAGGAAGTCTGTGGCGAAGTTACAAACTATGTCCGAGTCTCTTCAATCTTAATTGGTGTTTTAATGATGCATTGCAAAAATGCCTTCCTTGCAAATGGAACACCAAGTCTTTTTAAAGTGCGTTTAACCAGACAGTGCTACTTAATTCTGGGATCTAAGGCAACCATAGGCATCTAGTGAATGTAATTCAGGAGTCCCAATATTTAGTTTTATCGTACTTGAGATTTAGTCTTCATTGCTTTGAGCAGTGTTGCAGGTACAGTAGATCAGTCACACGAGATACCTGTCGTGCATTAGCAGAGCGGGGGAGGAATTGACATGTTCTAGCATCTCATGAAGTCTATAAGTTGTGGCTAAGGTTGTTCAATGATTTCATATAGTGCCCACTGTTGATAGGATTTGATGCGTGGAGCTGTTCTCACCGCAGGTTGAGGCCTGAAAAAGGCCTCAGAAGAAGTGTGATCTTGGTTCGATTTTTAGAAGAGGTGCAAAACACTAGCATTGATAACTTGAGAAGTAAAGATCTTGCAGAGATCTCACTTGAGCAGGACCAAAATTAATCATGGACCAAAATTAATCGGATGTCAGTGACTTATATGATAGCTTTGCACAGTACTGGAAGAATGCCTTAATGTTGTAACCTGTTTTATATATCTTTGAGACTCTTCTTTCAAATGAAGCATGCTTTAAGCTTTCCAGATACAGGTCAGTTAAACTTGAGTCACTTTCTGTGAAAGAAGTACTGAATGTGCATTTCGTGGCCAATCTAAAAGGAACTCACTTTGGATAATATTTTTAAGAAATATAATTTTCTGCTTCTGTGGGCAGATGTAAAATAGCTGTAAATATAATTTTCTGCTTAATCAAAGTGGTGAGGAGATGTCTAAAAGCCAGATTCACTGCTTAGATATGCATAAATGACTGGGAAAATTGAGGGAGAAGCTAAAGCATGTATTTCCAGCGGCAAAATCAATCCATCCTGCTTTTTCTTAGCCATGGGTGTTTCAGCTTTTAAAAAGTCTTGTTGCCTAGGCTACACTTAATCAGTTGCGTCTAGTGGTGCTGCAAGGCCCTGGTCTATGGGGTGATGGTTTTTTTTTGTTCTTTCCTTTCTACTTTAGGCCCTTGAAACACACCGAACAGAGTGCTGGTGTATGTGCACCGTCCTTCCGCCTGGAGAAAGTCTCTCTTGTATGAAAGACTGTTGATAGTGATACCTTATCAATGAGTACATACCATGGCTAAATTCTGATAATCCGCTTGTAGCGTGAGGAGTGCGTTTCAAAAAGCAAGCACTCTACAGCGTAAATGGAGGTCTGGCCTTGTACGCTAGTAAGTTGCTCCTTGAAGCCAAAATTTTTAGAAGTTGTCTGAAGGAAAATTCAGTGAGGGAAGCTTGATGCATGTCTGGATGAACTGAGTTGGACGGAATGATTTGCAGAGGCATGACTAGAGTTGGAGATGGGAACGGCAGCGCTTTTTAGTTTGCTTGGAGGAAAACGTAAAAAGGTATCTTGAGGACACGAGGGCTTGTTTTGTTGACAAAGTTGTGGAAAAAGTACACTGATGGATTAATCTGGTGGTAGTGGAGCGCTGAAAGGGAGGAAGTGCAACAGGAGTAAGATGGGATAGAGTTCAGGTAAGGTTTGGAGCGGTGGGTAAAAATATAAATGAGACGAATGAAAAACAAAAAAGGGGGGGAGGAAGGGATATGTTAGATGGAAAAAAGTGAAGTGCCTGAGTTAGAGGTTCAGAGGAGTATTACTGCTCTCTTTAGAAAGTTATTAGTTGACTCTTTGGCTCCAAGTTACTTTGCGTATTTACCAGTAGTTATTTCACATATTATATGCTGTTGTAGCTTTATTTCCTTACAATTTTAGTACAATCACTTGCAGGCGTGAAGGCTGATTTTTCGACTTTTCTTCCTTTTTCCTTTCCCCATCAGAAGTAGATAGCACTTGACGTCCATTTGAGCATGGATGGTGATTATAGGCTGTGTGATTTGAGTGTACTTTTCCTCTGGCTTTCTGGATTCACTTTAAATATGACTATTTTTATGTTTTAATTTAGAGTAAGTTGTTCTGCCACTTCATATTTTCAGCTTCAGTTAGGTCAAAAGCCCTCTAAAATTGTCTGGAAAAACATTTTAAGAGTTAAAAGTAGATCCATTAAGGTGTTTCTTTTTAGAAATGTTAATATGAAAATTCCTGTCAAACAGTATTTTACTTATCTTGTCTCAATATTCTATGTACAGATCAGATTCCTGGAAAAAAAAATCCTAGTTGTACAGGTCTCCAAAAAAGGGAAGACTGAGACAATTCCTTGGTTTTCTATCTGCACCGTTTTAAATAAGAAAAAGAAATTTTACCTTTTTTTAATAAAGCTGGATTTGCTGCTATAATTGCTGCCTTTGAGTATGGATATGCATCTGAATAGTGACTAAAATGAACATCCTTTTAATATGCATGCATTTATGTGGAAAGTATGAGCTGTAACTGACCTAGCTAGGCTAAAAGCACCAGTGTTTCATTAGAAATAATTTGTACTTAAATGCACAGAGATGGATAGCTCTTTTGCAAATTAAAAAAAAAAAAGAGAAGAAAAGATTTAGCAATAGTGGCGAAGTTGAAGTAGAACCGAGGGCTGCAAATTTTGTGCTTATGCTGTTGGATCCATGCTCTATTAGTTTGTATATGCTTTTGCAGAGATTTTTTTTTTGTGTTCGTTTCGTTTTGGAACGTAGCACTGCGTTAAGCCAAACGTGTTTGCTTAATGCAAGAAACTAGTACTACACCAAACAGTCTGTCTGACAGCCTTCTTGGGAAATTCATAACGTTTCTTTCTTTGGGATGCAGGTTTGCCTGCGAGTGATCCAAAAGCTTTGCAGTAGCTCCATGAAACATAGGGGGAAAAGGGCATTTACTGGGTTAACTTGTCCGGCAGCCACCTCCTTCCCAGAACATTGTTTTAGTAGTTGCTGGGCAACACTCTTTTTTTGGCAAGGCGTTCAAGAAACGAACCCATATCTCTTAGACTTAAAATACCCTCATGGTGAAGCTGAAGATGAGTAGTTCAAATTCTGTTTGTTCTTTTGATCCTAATCCATACTGTACGCTGTTTCTGAGTATTGCTGTCATGAAGCATTCTAGCACGCTTATCTAGCATTGCTGAGGCTACTGCTGAGGATCTGAGTCTTTGAACTAGAAGTTCATGTTTAATGGAAGTAATGACCTGAATCTGGACAGAAAAGCTTTAATATATAGATAAATACCGATTCTTTTGATGGGTTTCTTTGAAATTCACGCTGTGCTCAACACAGATGAAAGTTAGTATGCTTTCTCCTTAACGGAACAGTTTTGAGGCATGTGGTGTTCTTTATAGCTTTGCCATCAATACTCTGAAGCTGACACCCTACTGCTTGGTTAATGTGAAGGAAACCATATAATGTATGCTGTACTGATACAGGCTGTGGAGTTAGATGATATATTGCTTGCATATTGGATTATTTAGCTTTTTAGGCTGAGTAAAATACAACCTTGCTTATAGCTCAGCATTAGAACTGAAATTAAAGGAATTTTCAGTTAAAGGCTCATATACATAGTCTGTAGTTGTTTCCCAAACGGTTCTGAATAGTATAAAAGTAAAATAAATATCCAGATTCCTCTGCCTGTTAGTTTTGGAAAAATATTAGCTGAATATGAAAGTGCACCTTATGGGTAGTAAGGTAACATCCCCTTGTACTTGTCCAGAAGAATTTTTAGCAGTATG